TTATTTTTTGTTTTTTTCAGTTTTTGTTATTTTATTTTTTTGTTTTTTGTTTTTTTTCATTTTTCTCCTTTTTTATTTTCTTTTTTTTATTTTTCCTATTTTATTTTTTTATTTTTTTTTATTTTATTTTTTCGTTTTTTTTTTGCTTTTTTGTTTTTTCCGTTTTTTTATTTTCAATCCATTTTATGTTTTTTTTTTTTTTTTTGAAATATTTCAAAACATGTGTGAAAATAACAGTATTAGAAAGACAAAATTAGCACAACGAACGGAAAAATCACAACAAAATAAGGCAATTCAAAATGCTAAATCATTTTTCTTTTTTTTATCATCAAATATCTGATGCTAAGTTTTTTCCAAAATTATCCAACGATTTTGAAATTTAAAAAAATTTCCGTCTATGAGGGATAAAAGAAAATCAAAAATTCAGGATTCTGGTTGTGATTTTTCAAAAATAACAAGTACTTGGAAAATTAGTAATTCAAAACACACAATTAGCAACTTCGCATATAAGCAAAAACAACAAAAAAGAAACTAATGAAGCCACTTTGAAAAATTTCGAAAAAAATCAGATAACAGTAGTAGAAAAAATGAATGAAGCTACCTGCGTGATGAGGAGAAATTTGGCATTGAAGCGATAGGAGACCAACGAAGTTTGGATAGAGATGGCTGCATACAACTTATCGTTTGGCTTGCGGCATAGGTAGAACTAGAATTACTATTATCACTGCGCACCTGAAATAAAAACAAGGATTGGTAAAAATAAGTTAATATTAAAGAATGTAGTTTTTCACATTCGACATAATTTTGAAAAAAAAAAGAGCTTCACCTACCAGGAATATAATAGTACTCCGCTTCATTATTTCTACCCACTAACTCCAGCCTGCGCCGCTTTGCAGCTCTTTCGCTGATAACAGCCTTTGTGGCTTTAGGGCACCATTCCAAAGAATGGAGCTCCATCATGGCTGCAATTTCTTCAATGCAGCGGACATGCGGCATTTTGACGAAATGGCCGCATTTGTGGCAAAAGCCTGAAAAGAGATAAATTATATTAAAAGTGTTCCAGTAAGCTTACCTGCAAAGAAATTTCCTCAAAAAATTGTATCTAAGCACTAGTATTACTTTTTGAAGTTAAACTCACCATTCTGTGTATGCATTTTGGCGGCATGGATTCTCCATCCTTTTAGAGTCCCAAATTCCTTTGGACACATGCCGCATCCTGAAAAGATATGTATTAGATGTTTCCAAATCCGTTCAAGTCATCTGAATTAAATTTCAGTGTAGTAATGAAATAAGTTTCCACTTACCAATTATTACCGACCCGTCGTTATTTCTAATTATCTTATACGGGTCGATTTCCGGTACAACCAGCAGTTCTTGATAATGAGCCGGTAAACCTTCCACGACCGGCACATGGAAGGCTTTCGGGCTCGCTGGTACCGCTTCATGTCCTACATCTACAATTGGGACTCGTATCGTCCGGGAACGTCTGAAACATGTATTTATAACTGGACATCATTCCCTCAAAATTGTTGTGTAATTAATTTTTTATCCTGTTTGCTCATTTGCTAAGAAAGCTATTCATGGTCCGAGTGAACTGTATTGTAAAAATATTCTACATTATGAACATTTTTTAAAATAAATTTATAAATTAATTGAATTCGACATTTCATGGTAGGCAATTAGTATTTTTCAAACATCTCTATAATTGAGAAAATAAACTTACAATACAATTTCACGAGCTGCTATTATTTCTCTACGTTTCCGGACCACTACCGGGGTTCTTGGCACCGCATCAATAACTTCTTCATTGAGGAACGGCTCGTGTGATAATTGCCGTAAATCCGTTACCTCGTCTTCCTCCTCCCCCTCTGGTTCATCGTGAACCAGTGCCGGTACTGGTTCTATCACTTCCTGCTCCTCACGTTGTTGCTGCTCGGGGAGGTGGAGCACGAGCTGCTCCTCATTGTCACGTTGCCTCTCCTCAACCCTTCCTTCGTCGTGAGCTTGACGCTCACTTCTCTCCAATTTCGCTCCTAATTCATTAATCTAAAGAGGAATATCACTTACAGCAGGTAATGAAGAGTTCAATGGAAAGTTTTTTAGTCTTTATACTGAATACCCTGCA